AGGAAAGCTGGGCTGGGTAGGCCAGCTACTGAAAGCCGTATCAGAACTCGGAGTCGAACGACCCCCAAAACATCTGATCGACTGCCTCTGCCTGCCTCTCACGCGCGAGCTCCCGAGACACCGCATTCTGCACCTTAAACTTGCTGGATTTGAAAACTGGGGTATGCTGAGTCCTAGGCCGTGGTACTTGAGGTATCTTGGCACCCACGACGAGCTCTCGACATAGTAATAGGCACCCCGAACTACGTAGCCGAAGAGCCACGCCACACTGAGGCTTCCATGGGACCGAGAAGACCGCCGAGACCTGGACTTAATCTAGCTTGACTCCTTTCCCAGAGGTGCACGTGTGCTCGACGTCAGGCGTGAAAATGGTCTCCTCCACGAAACCTTCTCCACGAACGGTTCAACATTGAAATCTTCGATGACGATCCAGGTCAAACGAAACTGTGAAACAAGGTCTCCCAACTTAGCGAAGCGAAGAAGATTCCGTCCTTGAAATCCCTCGGAGCTGAAACCGTGGAAGGTGGTAGCAACGACCGAATACCCGTGCATGCGCAAGAGGGCCACAGAGAACCCGTCGTAGGCACTAGTACCTGGTGAGTGGGAATCCTAAGTGGCCGCCACCGAAGTGCTGAGCCTGAGCCTCTGAGCTTGCCAGTGTTGACGATACAAAATCCACTCGCCTCCTTCGTTGGCCCGATCCTGACTGGCACTCGTCCTTCCTCTCCCAGACGGCCGTGCTGGATTGTCGATGAGCTTGAGACGAAACTTCTGAGCTTGCTTCCGCCAATGTACTCGATACACCGGCGATATATCGGCCTTGCATCGGCGACGTCGGCGATGCATCGGCGTGAAGAAATTCTCGCTCCACATCGAGCCGCATCGTCGATGCGGAGCGATCCGCCATCCCATCTACTCCTACCCCATCTGAGGGTCCTAGAGATGTGGGTACTCTCGTCGCACACAGCGACTGGGAGGAGGGAACCTTCGGCGGCAACTCATGGGAGCCTGTCATTCCATCTTGCTGGCTCTTGCGACTCGGCGCTAACCGACGCTAATTGATGCTAATCGACGCGAAATCGATGCTAAATCGGTGCTTTCTTGTCGATTGTCAGGCACTACCGCACGCTAATGCACACTGAAACGGAATCGCGAAGACACACTGACAACCGAGAGAGCGGCACACGGAGCGGGGCGTCAGGCGGGCGCGCGCACAGCGACTGGGAGGAGGGAGCGGCACAGAGAAAGGCCTCCCGAGTGGGGCCCGAGTAGATGGGGTCGGAGGATTACGCCGCATCGCCGATGTATCGGCGATCGGCGATGCATCGGCGTTGCATCGGCGATGCATCGGCGACGTTGGCGTGGAGAAAATCGGGCTCCACATCTAGCCGCATCGCCGATGCATCGGCGATGCGGAGCATTCCTTCGACCTCACCTACTCCAACCCCGTCTGGGATGCCTAGAGATGCGGATTGGATCCTTCCGTCGCACACAGCCACCGGGGGTAGGGCGCGGAGGATCGTTAAGGGCCTAACGACCTCTGCCGTCCCTCGACTCGCGTTGGAACGGCCACAACTTGCTCCAAATTTCCCTGGAGACCTTCGGATTTGCCTGCATGCAGCGTGCACCTGGATGTGCTAAGATCTACCGGGACTTACCGAGACTTGTCTGCACTTACCTCGACGTATCCGATTTGGCCCCCACGAGCTTTTTGAGTTAAGCATCGTTAAGGAGGCTCGGGCGGGCACCAAGGGGTGAGGGGCCTCCCTCGGCGGCGGGCGAGGGGGGGAAGGGAGGAGGAGGAGGAGGAGGAGGAGGAGGAGGAGGAGGAGGAGGAGGAGGAGCTCCTTAAGCAGAAATAGCGGTACGGGGCGGGGCGTCGGGCGAGCGCGCGGGGCGGCCACACGCACCGCGTCACGCCACGCGCCGGCGCCGCGTGTGGCAGAAGCCGAGCAACCTGCGGCGGCTGCAGGCGTTGTACGCGGTGTCCCAGCCCTGCGGGCGGCCAGGCGACGATGACGACGACGAGGATAACGACGACGAGAAAAGTTAGGAGGCGACATCCAAACCCTGGCGCCGACGGGCGCCCGCGGCCAATCCCTCGGCAGACCCCTCGGGGCGGATGAGGCGGCGGATGGCAGAGGCCACAGAAGGCCGAGGCGGCCACAAGCGGGCGGCCGAGCTAGCTGCCAGGGCAAGGCCCGCCTGCAGAGGCGCCTCCGCGGCCGCGCCTGGGCGGGGCCCGCCTGCCAGGCGGCGGCATCCGAAACCCCGCCAACCATCGATTCTCCTGAATCGATGGGAGGCGGAGGTAGGGTGCCGAGTTCGCCCCGTGTCCGAAGCCTTCCGGACCCTGCCCCCGCCGCCCATCGAGTTGTCTGAATCGTAGATTGGCGAGGATAGGGTTCGGATTTCGCCGCCGACCAGGAGATCTGGGGGGGGAGGAGCGGCGGCGAGCCCACGGGGGGAATGCAGAGAGGGCGGGCCTTGTCAGAAGGCTCGGAAGGCCTCCAGCCTTCTGAGAAATTGTCTAAATCTTCTCCAAAGACAAACGACTTCTCAGGATGCCAGAGGGCTTCAGAGAATCCCCATCGAGCGCCCAAGGTTTTTCGTGGTTTGGTGTGCAGCCATCGTGCTACCAGAAGGAACGCTGAATAAGGAACGAAGGGGCTTCCCTGGCCACAGCAAGCCTCGGCCACGATCAGGATCCCCCGCCTAGATCCGAGGAGCGGCCCGAACACCAGAGCCTCTCCGGAACCCGAAGCGTTCTTTGTTTCAGAATATTGGCTGTAAGTCTTTGACCCTCGGGAGGCCTCCCGAGGCCTCAGGAAACCTGCGGAGAGAAGAAGGGATGTTATAGGAGGCATCAAGAAGAGATGTTTCAAATCTTCGAAGTATGGGGTCTTCGTTTTAATGTCACACCTGCGCTTCCCTTCGTCCCTCACTCAATCTCTCCCCCACATACAGACCGTCACGCTCGCAGACTCACTCTCCTACTCAGCACTCGCACTCATACTCCTCATGCAGGCTCACTGGAACTCGTGATCACTCGTACCCAATCACAAAGACGCAAGTATTCAGTCATCCTTGTTCTCTTTCACTGAGATCCGATTACAGAGATCCTCACTCATACTCGGATCCACTCACACGCATCATGGCCCGTTTACTGATATTGGGATACGCTCAACATTGGCGATTGAGCAGCCCAGAGGGGGAATCGACCGAAGGGTTACAACGGGCCCATTCACGTCCAGATCGTCGGAGACTCTCTCGATCAGAATGGCCGTATGGGGCGGTGGACGCGTCTGCTTCCACAATCCCAAAATCATCGCGATGCAGCCACCGTGGCACTGGTGCATTCCAAGGGGACCGCGTCTGCAGCTTATCACGGGCCTGGCCGCGCCCAGATAACCAGGACCACTCAAGCAGATTGGTCGTTTGGGGCGGTGAACGCGTCTCCTTTCAGGGCCCCCATGCCATCGCGATCTAGCAGGTGCTACAAGTGGGCATCCCAATGGTGGAGCCGGCCAATCGGTTGTGACAAACCCGCTCGCGCCCAGAATTTCCGGACCTCCCACGCAGGATTGCCGTCTGGAGCGGTGGACCTGTCTTTATGCATAGCCCTAAGATCGTCGCAGCGTAGCAAGCGCCGTACTTGGGCATACCAACGTAGCAGGCGTCGCACGGGCGCGTTCTCGCCAAGACTGTCAGGACATCTCAACTAGAATGGCGAATGCCCGTTTGGAGCGGTGGACGCGTCTCTTTTCATAACACCCATGCTATTTCGATTCAGCACGCGTGGCACGAGGCCGTGCGCGCCCAGCGTGTCGGGATCTCCCAAGCAGAATGACCGCGTGTTGCGGTGGACGCGTCTGTTGGAAGGATACCGCCGATATCTCTATATGTATATGTATATACATATATATATGTATGGATGAAAGCCTTCTGTTGATTGCGTAGCTAAACTGGTCAACGCGCCTGAGCCCAAACGATAGCAGACACATGCTTGCTTCAAAACATGCTGCACACACAAATGATCACTCACACTCCTCCGAAACATACGCTGTACGAGTCTCTGATCCAGACGCTGCTTAAATCGTCGAAGAAACCGGCCGGTCGCTGACGGCTCGTCTGCTACAGGCTCGGGCCCAGGGCTCCTGCAGGTTTGGCTGGCTGGCTAAATTAGCTCACGACCCAAGGCAATAAATGAACAAACTCGCTAGCGTAAAAACTCAGTCGTGAATTCGCCGGCCCAACGGGCCAGAGGCGTGCTAAGATCTCCGGTAACTGGTTAACAATATTCTACTTCGCGTGCGCGGGGCGGCCCCCTGGGGGTCTCCAGGCGAGAAGTACCCCGGCAGGGTCCCGGCAGACTCGGGTCAGAGATGGTTTTCGGGGCAATTTTGCGACACCCGTCACGAGGATCGTGGCCTCCGAGGGGGGAGCCACAATTGACTACCCCCCCGCCCCAAGAGGCCCCCAAGAGCCCCCCAAGAGGCCCTGGGAGCCCCCAAGACGCCGCCAAGGAGCCCCAAGAGACTCCCAAAAGGTCCCCAAGAGGCCCCCAAGAGGCCCTAAAGAGGGCCCCAGGGCTGGCGGAATGAGCGAAGCGATTCAATTAATTCAGGGAGGGAGGACGAGGAAGAGGTAGAGATGGTTTTGCACGCTGCCCAGAATGGCAGCCGTCATACAAAAGCCCAGCGGGGCTCATGGCCTAAAGGGCCTCATATTAAAATTGGAGTGCACCCCGGGCTCGATGAAGGAACAACTATAGGAAGCCCACGGAGGTACCCGTAGCCGGCGGAGCACAGCACCGTGAATGCTCACACGGCCATAGGCGTCGTCGATGAAGCACAGCACAATCACGGAGTGCTCGCACGATCGTAGGGCTGCCCACAGAACACGTCACCCTCGAAGTCGTGAGCGGGGTTGTGACGCCCCGGGCCTGGAGCTAAACCACGTGCGTACGTAGTCTGGCTAATCGTCATTACGCCCCTGACCTGGACATCGCCGTCGCACATATCCTTTTTGTGTTTGGGCTTGGTCCTGATCTCCACATGCTGGTCCACCTGCTGCGTCCTTGGCTGCGTGGTCGGCTTGATCCTGATCTCCATGTGCTGGTCAACGTGCTGCGCCCTGGACTGCGCGGGCGTTAACTTCTGGATCGCAACATGCACCAGCAGACAAGAGAGAGTCAACATGACTCCGAAAGCCACGCTCTGCAAGTAATAGAACCAGCCCACTGTGTAGCCTTCACGACTGTATGACTGCATGATGGCCAGGTCCTGGCTGGACCGACTGCTGCTCGTCTTCACGATCGGCCCAGAGTTCGAAGCTAACTCCTGGCGCGGCCGACGCTGCCAACGTCAGTAACTGGAGAAACCAGAAGGCACCGATACCTATACTCCCCGGACCTCTCCCAAGGCGCGTTTCAACCAAGGTTTCGAAACGGATCCAGCGGTGCCAACGAGGGCCTCCCAGGAGGCCCGAAAACGGGACAACGGACGAAGGGTGAAGGTATGGGTGCATTTTTCCACCGAGTAACTGGGCGAGCTTCTTCGACTTGGGACTGGGGCTGCGAACTTTACGTCGCGCCCGGACATGAACGCCATCAGCGTGCCCGCGTGAACATGCTGACCGCGATCCTCAGGCGTTTGTCCCGTGCGACCCGGCGACCTGCTCCGCCGTCTCTTCTAGATTCTTACTGTCTGTGAAAATCGTCATCTTGATGTTGTCCGCCTGCCGCTCCGCGTCCTTCAGCTTTGGTGGATCTCCGAACTGTGCCGTCATCTTCAGCTCCGTCAGCGCCTGGCGATACCGCTCTGCGTGCTCGGAGGCCTCGCTGATGGCATGGGCCTCTGCGCTGAAGGTGCTTCGCGCCACCCTCCAGACGCGTCCTGAACACCGGGTGCGCGGGATCCGCTCGCTGAATCCCTCCTGGGAGACCTCTTCGGGCATGTGGGTCAAACCCCGACAAGCCCGCGCTGCGACCGCTCGCCCTCGGCATAGGCGAAGGCGGAGTCCCCGTAGAACACCAGCTGCGCCAATAGAACACGAACTCGACCACGGACAAGCCGAACTCCCAGCGTCGGACTATGCTTGAGCTCGGTGACCAACTGGGTGAGAGGAGGTCCGGGGCCTTACGCTTGCTGATACGCTGGGCTGCCAAGTTCTGCAGATCTCGTAGCAACCCGCTGCACCTGGCCGTGGAGCTACTGACATGCTCAGATGTCGCATCTGACTCGGGAATCTTCTTGCGGTTCGCGTCGATGGGGGTATGCTCGATCACCTTGATCGTTTTTTCGTGGGTCGCATTGACGAACCCCGGCGTCATCTGAACCCGTGCGCAGGTGGTCGGCGTCGCCGACCTTCTTGGCAATATGCAGACGTTTCTCGAGCTCCGGCATGATTTGGTGGACGTAGGTGCTGAACTGCTTCCAAGCGAAAGACATGTCGTCCACATGAGGGTGGATGGCGAGGAAGATCGCACCCTGGTAAGCCAAGTAGTACCAAGCTCGCTACAGCCTGCTCATGGACCTGGCACCCACTGAGAACTGACTTCGAATGCAAATACCAAGCTACGCCAGCATTCATTGCACCGTATATGCTTCCTGCCGCGAGGAAGATTTGTCCTGGAATCCAGCGGCATCTTGATCATAAGAACACGGTCGATGCTCTCTGCCTTCAAGTAGGCGCTCTTGGCATCGAAGAAACCGCCAACCCAACCATGCTGAGCTGCAAACCCAGTCGTAAAGCGAAATGCGTTTCGGCCCCGGGTCGGAGCGTCGGCACGAATGCCCAGATCGTTCTCCTGACACCCTTGCACCACCAGCCTCGGCTTGAAGGTATTCGCGTCCTTCTGAGTCGAAACCCACCTGCTGCCAGCAATCGCGAGCTGTGGCCGCTTGCGCTCGAGCTGGGCGAGTTCCTCCTTGGAACAGTAGAGTGCTGCGTGGAACGCCAGCCACTTGTCCCACTCTGAACTCATAGCCCTCCAAATTGTGACTTGGTTGCCGCCCGTCAGGTACTTGAAGGTCAGCTCCTTGCACCTCGACATGCCCGCGAGGTCCAAGCGCCTGAACCTGGTCGGGTACAAAGTCGAGTAATCAAGGTCGACCGGCTCCTTGAGGGAAAGCCCCATGATCAGGTGCTCGTCAACCCTGGGCTTCTTGGTGATCTGTCGGTCTTGCAGCGATCGTCGGATGCTGCGCGGCACGTCGTCGAGTGGGTCGTAGGTCGTGGCGCCCCATCCTTGCCTCGAGTTTCTGCCAAATTCTGGTAGGTACATCTTCGAGTGGGTCGTAGCGAAGTCTCCGCAACTGACGACGCTCCTCCACGACTGGAGTCTCGGGCTCTGGCGCGGGCGCCTGATGTTGTCGCGGGCATGGCGTCTCCTGCTCCTCGTCAGCGTCGAGGTCTTCGTCGAGATCGAAAACGCCCTGGTGAACCCACGGGGTCTCGGGCCCCTGCTCGTGCAGATCCGGGTTGAAGGCGTCCGGGACCCGACTGGAATGCGCCTGCTGGAGCCGCTCCCGGTCGAACATCGGCTGGTCGAAAAGCGTCTCGGGCTCCGCCGAATCTGGGTCAGGCACTTGCTGCTGTGGCTGCGATGGCTGCGTCTCCACTGGGATCTCATACTCAGGCTCTGAAGCAAATCGCGGTCGCTTCGCCTGTGGATCAACTGACTCATCAGGGCCCGAAGCGTCGAGACCGGGCGGGGGCCCTGGGGCCTCCGCCTCGGTCGAGCCAGCGGGGCGATAGCAAGACCGTCAACTGCGCTTTCCAGGTCTGACGCCTGCCCGTAGTGGGGTGACTGTTTGTTGGGCCATGGATCTGCTCGTCGTCGCCCGTCATGTCGTAGCAATCGACGTCGGTCCCCGGGGGGTCCTCAATGCAGGGCGCGCCCGCCTCGAACTCGGGCTCGTCGCAGTGGGCCAGAGCGTCGAAGATCCCATTCCAAGGCGCAGATGCTTCGGGGAGCACTTGGGGGGTAGCGCTCCGATGCGAAACCCGCGCGTTGTTCCCCTCGTAGCCGATGGCTAATCGAGGGCCATGCCACTTGAAGTTCCACATCTTCTCGGCCTTCTTCAGGCCGCGCCAGTAGAAGACCCTGGTCGCCGATGCTGAAATAGAAGCTCGATGGCCGCGCAGCCTGTCCGCGACTCTTGGCAAGGAAGGCCGCTGGGAGTCGTCGATCGTGCTCGACAGCCTGGGCCGCGCGCTGAGCGGCAACGAGCATGCCCACGCGCTGTTGGAACGACTGGTCGTCCCGGGCGCGCTGGTGGAATGGACCTCGCGCGCTTGGAGCTGAAGGGCAGGCTGTAGCCGCGGCCGAGCGCCCACTACGCTAGACTGCACCCAGACGGCCCCGCCTTGCTGTTCTTCGGCCAGTTGACCATGGTGCAGAGCCACTCCACGGCACCTGGGGCGGTAGAATCGATCTGGTACTCGTCGATGAAGGCCTTCGCGATGTACTTCCGCGCGCCGCGGCGCCGCTCGCAGATGCTGTCCAGCGTGGGGCTCGAGACGGTGGTGGCGATGAGCTCGGTGCCCATGCCTTCGAGTTCGCTGGGGAACTCCCTCTCGAACTCGCCTCCGAGGCATGCGGCGCTCGCCCGGAGCGGGCAAGCCTGGCCCATCCACCATGCAAGTTGCGCCGTCCACGATGTGATGAGCTTCTTGTCGGCCTGCGGGGCCACCAGCTGAAAGTGGCGGCCATGTCGACGTCGTTCTGCAGCTGAGCCTGATTGCCCTTGACATCGGCGAGAGCCATCAGGTCGGTAGGCACTCCATCGCCAAACTCGCGGGACTTGGGCCTCAGGTCCGCAAGCGTGGAGATGTCTGGAGGCTTCCGCCTCTCACAGTCGGGGCAGCGGTGAGCTTCCGCTGCCGCGATCTTCTCTGCTGAGCCACGCTGCGAGCGGACGGACCTCGCGAAGCTGGCGTTGGTCGGATGGCCAGCGCTGGCGCGCGCCAGCTCGACCGCGCGCTCGAGCTGTCCTTCGCGGGCGGGGCGGTGCAGCGGCCGGTCTGATTGGGGCCCTTTCCACCAAACACCTTCGCGCGCACATGCTTCCCGTCGCACTTCTTGTGGAGCTGATCGACAATGGGCTGGCGGATAGCCAGGACCTTGAACTTTTTTCCGAATGCGCTCCGACCGTCGAACGCAGCTCGTAGTCCAAGAATGCCCTGGCACCGCGGAGCGCATGGGATACTGATCCAAAACCACTGGTGTCCTGCCAAGCATCTTCTCCTTCATCATCTTCACTCGCGTGCCCTCCACGGTTCTTCTCTTTGGCAGGCCGCGCTCAGGTTGGTGATCTGCCAGTGGCGCTGAACACTCTCCGTGGCAGGCTATTGGGCTCGCGCGCCAGCTCGAAAAGGCTGCCACTCCTTGGGCGCCCTCGTCGAACAGCTGCAACTCCGCGCCCGTGTGCTTGATCTGCTTGCTCGAGCCGGGTCAGCTTCTTCACCGCGTTCGCGCTCGCGCAGCGTCTTAGCCTTAGTGACCCCGGCAAGGCCATGCTTCTGCTGGCCTCGCTTCACGAAGCGCCAGCTGGCATTCTGAACGGGGTTCGAGCGGGCCCCCTCGGCGAAGCAAACGACGTCCGCATCGCATTTGCAGCTGGGACAGAGCCCTTGCCGCTCACAACTCGCGCGCGTGCCAGTGCCGCACGAGCGAGTGAAGGTAGCTGGACTAGCGCAGATGCAGCAATCGTGGCCTCCAAAGCCTATCGTGGAACGTGGTCTTCTACACGCTCTGGGTCTCGTTGACGCTGGCGACCTCCCTGACTCATTCACTGCCTTCACGGTCGGACCGAGCCTCTAACCGCAGGTTGAGGTGGCCGCCTGAGCTCCGCGCGCGAGTGCCACGATCCTCGACGCCGTCTTGCCGCCCGCGGCCCTCGGTCGAAGCCCCCGAGGCAGCTCGTCGGTGGCGCCCCTGTCCCTGGAGTGGCTGCGCAGCACGTGGTGAGCGTCGGGTGCGTAGTCCAGCGTGAAATGTCCAATGCAACGATCCTGGGGCAACTCGGCCTTCTGAGGCCCAATTGTGATCCGTCTCGGTGGCGATGTCTTGATCTCGGCACGCACGGACTCCAGGTTGTCGCCGTGCAGGCGCGCCCCGGCAAAATGCGGCACCTTCGCCACCGCCGTAGGGGACGTCACAGGGGTGACAGAACCCTTCGCGAGGCCATCGCCGAACTTGAAGGTCCCGTTCACGGACTCGAAGGTCACGAGCTCTTCGAGGCCTAGCGACTTCACGCGTTCGTAGTAGTCGCCCCACCGCGGCGCGCCCATCGCGCTCCTGGCGCATGCCGAATCGACAGCGCCCTTCTTGCACATCGGAGACGGGCCAGTGACCGCCATTTTCTGGAGCACGGCGAGTGGGAACGCCACCGCGACCGCTAAGACGTCAATCTCCTCGTCGTCGCGATCTGCTCCAACAGTCACCTTTTGAACCTCTCGTTCACCAGGGCACTCTGGATCGCTGGCCAATGGCCCCAACCGTCGCGCGCGCGGCACTGGGGGTTCTTCTTGCGCTTGTCGAGAGTGTCTTTCATCGGCTAGACATGGCTCCACGCCCTGGCTTCCAGCCGGCGGCGGATCGGCCCCGGCCGCGCCCCGGCCTCGGCGGCGGGGCCACCGCGGCGCCGCCAGAGCCAGAGCCGCCCTTCCTTAGACTGTCGCGGGCCTGCCGCGCTGTGGCGAGCGCCTCGGGCAAGTCCGAGAGCTGGGCCGCCGCCTTCCCGACCGCCTCGGCCCCCTCCTGGTTGACGTCGCCGAGGTCGGTGGCCAGGGCCTCCAGCTCGCACTGCGCCAGCCCCTCGATCCCGTCTTCGTCGGCGTCGTCATCCTCGAAGCCGTCGTCATCCTCGCGCTCGGTCACGCTGACTGCTTTGGGTGGTGGCCGTCCTTTGCCATCTTGCTGCCGATGCTTCTTCTGCTCGAAGGGTCGTCTCTGCCGCGGGGGCCCGCGTTCGCTAGGGTGTATATATATATGAGAGATCCGCATCGCTATAATACGAAACATTCGCAACTTAACGGCATCGCTCGGTCGCGGCCCCGGTAGCGCTGCAACGGGCCGCTCTCTCTGACCCCTGATGATGTTTGAGCGCCGCATGAAAACCAGCCCCAAATATCAGAGTCATCGGGAAGCTCGGCGCCATCCTCGGAAAACTCCGTCACTCCGTGGTCCAGCATCGCGATGTAATCGGAGATCCCGGCGCCCGCCCTGCGCGCGTATATCTGCGCCTCGAGGAATTCCGCCATGGCCTCTCCTTTTTTGGCGCACCTTCGGCGGGCGCAGGGATTCGAGCGCCTCCATCGAGTTACGGGCGCCTCTTCTAGGCATGGGGGGACGCTCTCCATTGCGACCTCGCCTGTCAGCTTCCCCTCGCCTTCAGGTGGGTCGGATCGTGCTTCTTCTTGACCTCGATGCGGCTGCAGGTCGCCGCCCTTGAGCGTCAGGGCCTTCCTGCGTGATGCCCCCTTGAGTTTCCTGATCATTATGGCTGCGACGCTGCGCTGCCCGCCCAGATGCAGCCCTGGCGCACGGATGCGATACTCCTCCTTGTAGATCACCCACGACGCGCAGTTGCCGCCCCAGCCTGGGGCGCAGCTGTCTTCGCGCGCCATGTTCGGACCCATCGCTGCCGGGCTGCCGGCCGCGAGAAACAAAACGCGGGCGAGGAAGTGGGCGAGCGCGCGGTAGGGGAACAGGGCGATGGGAAGGTCTTGCGCCGCAGGGGGCCGCGCTGCGGCCGGGGCCAGGACGCCGCCGGCGCTGCCGGCGCAGCCGCGGACCGAACTTCCCCGCTGCCACTGTCGGAAGGATCTCGCCGATATCTCCGGAACGATGAAAGCCTTTCGCTGCCGAGCGCCTGGGCCCGAACGATGGCAGACAAGCGCTTGCCACTAAACATGCTGCGCGCGCAACTGATCACTCGCAGCGTCTTCGCGTATGACCCTGCTATCGCGGATGGAAGCAATGAGCGCGAAACTGATTGGCAGCGTGGGAATTTCGCCATTCAAAGTCCGCGGGCTTCAAGCTGGGCGCGATCGGCGACCGCCGCCGAAAATGCAAAGTGAAAGCTCGAACCACAAATGCAGACTTGTGAGCCCCCATGTTGTCGCGGCCCCGAACGCGCTCATTTTCTGAACGGCGGAATGCCAAACTTATGATTTGGGTTCGCGTTATCTTTCTGCATCCACTGCCTTCCAGGAAGGCTGATTCGAGGGCCCCATCTGAACTGCTTGCGCCGATGAGTTCGCCAGGTTTGGCGCTCTGGGACGTTGCGCTGCCTTCTGTGCTGCGGCGCTCTGGGGCGTTGCTGTTTTTTCTAGTCCGAGCCGAACTATGACGAAATGATGATGAGAGCCGCGATGTGCGACGGGGTTGCAATCTTCCCACAGCACGACCGACTTCCTGGAGCTCTGGCACAGAACTTCCCCATCAAAACGCCGCCGATCATGAGTTGATCATTCGCGAATACAGAAAATTACATGTCGCATGTACGACTCAACGTTATGATTGGCGTCGCTTTGGCAGGGGAGTCCCGCGCCTGGCGCTGGGGAGTTGCGGCCCCATCGCATCTCGCGGCTTTCATCATCGCTTCGTCACCGCCAGGCCAAGACTGACAAAAAGCAAGAACCCCAGGGCGCCATTCTTGACGATCCCAGGATCGACTCGCCATTGCCAGGATAGCACGAAGCGGGGCGACTCGAAGCGCCATTCCTGGCGATCTCACCGGCTTTTCGCTCGAACCGAACGAGATCCGAACATGTCGTGGCGTCGCGGCCGGCCACGTAGCTCGATCGGAAAAATGCCGGAGAGGTTGGGAGACGCGAGCCCCGCATCGCGCATGGAATCCAGAATGGTGCCCTCGAATCAGCCATGCCAGAAGGATGGGAACAACGAGCGCGAAACTGATTCGAAACGTTGGAACGTCGCCATTCAAAGACCGCGCGGGTTCCAAGCCGGACACGATCAGCGACCGCAGCTGACAATGCAGAAAATAAATGCGAACCGCAAGTGCGAGCTTTTGAGCCCAATGTTGTCGTGGCCCGGAATGCGTTCATTCTCCCTGGGCGGCGGAATTCCAAAGTTATGATTTGGTTTCGCACGGCTTTCCAGGATGGCTGATTCGAGAGCCCCGTCTGAATTTCATGCGCCGATGAGATCGCCGGGAATGGCGCTCCGGGGCGTCG